GCTGTCAATCAGGCATTATACTTAACCGTTTTGTACTGCTAATTAATTACTATAAAAGAATATATTTTTCCTCATTCTTCCGACAAAGCGATTTTCTTGGTTAGCTTTGAAAGGGATAAAAGCGACTCCAGTCTGCGATGTTTCATCGGCGAGCCTGAATCTCTTCCATCATACCCTGAGTTTACCTCAGAGGGAGCAGGCTATGAACGTTTTTTCAGCATCTGGGGTAAGACTTTCGCGGTTGTAGAAAATGGCTGTATTTCTGAACATGTGATTGTATGAGCTTATGTACTCTGTTTTAACTACGGCAATCAGCTAGAACCTCAGTTACAGTTACTGAGCTGTGAAAATGGTGGAGTTCCTGTTAGAAAGGCTAGATCGTTGGAAAGGCTAGATTTATTTACATTTTTCATCAATTGTTGTACAATTAACTCATTTCTGAATGATAATTAATGTGGTTGTTCATTTTGTAGATACAAGGAAGAGTTGAACCAGAAAGTTAGCCAGAATATTGAAATAACGCTTCCGGACGGAAAGAAAATTACAGGAAAGTCGTGGCGCACGACACCGTATCAAGTAGCTGAGCAGATCGGTAAGTCTCTGGCTGATCAAGCTATTACCTGTAAAGTTGACGATGAACTGTGGGACTTGGATCGGCCATTCGAAAAGTCGTGCACTGTCAAATTTCTGAAGTTTTCGGACTGTGAACAAGCCAAAGAGGTTTTCTGGCATAGTTCTGCTCATCTACTCGGCGAAGCTGCCGAACGTTACTTCGGTGGTAGTCTCTGTTATGGTCCTCCACTGGAAAACGGCTTCTATTATGATATGCATATCGATAGGTCCATCGTCGCTGAAGACCTGCCAAAATTGGAGTCGATTATCACTTGCATCATAAAAGTAAGTTTTTGTACCCAGTAGAATTTGACAATCTCATTTTCTCATTATTTGAAAAGTTGACGTCGTTTTATTTCAGAAATACAGTCAGCGAGCATCGCAGTAATATAACTGTAGAACGATTGTTGAGTTCTTCTCCATGCTTGTTTATGCATGAGTTAAGCCAGATCACTTTGAAGTCGCAGATAAAACTTATTTACTCTGCAGTAACATTTCATTTCATATATGAGAACGGAGATAAACCATTGTATTCTTAGTTAGCTCCAAATTTTAGATTTACACTGGTTGTTTTTCTTCCATTGCTAGTTACATTCAGGTACTAGAGTTGCATTTGAAAATATATTTATACACGGGCCATTATTACTTGCTTAAATACATACACTCTCGAAATAGGGCATCAGCAGGCTTCCTTTGATGATTCAGATCTGTTTGCCTATTCACTTCGAAGTGCCGGATGGCATATATTGATATTACGTGTAGAGGCTGCTAAAGGCGTTTCACGAGAAGGTCTTTAGCTTTATAATTTCTCCCTCTAACAGGTTCCAAGTTTAATATCCATATAAAACATGCTCAGTTCTCCAGATTTTTCACATTTCAGCGACTAGTATTTTTTCTGGTTGAGCTGTCAGAGCCGCTTTTAAGATATATTTACCCACAGACAACTCAAAGTGGCTACGAGTCAAGCATCAGCTAGGCTGGTTATAGATTTGAGTCCAGTAGAAAAAGGATATGGTAAGAAAACTAAATACCTTTCTAAGAAAATGCCGGTAGCTCATAGAAGTAAAGTGGACTTATTTTATTCGCAGTCTCGAGGCGACTACTCGAGATGGCTTTGCTCTTATAAGAACTGCGACTTCCTGATGTATCCTTTGAAAAGTGTCAAAGTTTCATATCGAATGCTGTATTTTTGAGAGATTATTGACGTTAGCTTCATCTCCTATGTTATCGCATCAAGTAACTGCTTTTTTTTATTCGTGTATGCCAGCGATTTTTCCAGCCACCTTTAAATTATAGCTGTATATTGTTAAGTTTTAACCCTGTTTACCCTGTCTTCTTTCTGCAAGAAATGCCAACGGCAGTTCATTTTTAAAAGTTGAACAGGTTTTTTCTGCAATTTCGAAGAAGTCAGCCAAATAGTACTTTTATTCTTCCTTTTGATGGGGTTTAAGTTTGAAAGCTTTAAAGTTTTTTTAAGGTGCGTTATTTTTAAACTATTGTTTTGTCTCGTTGAGGCATGGCAAAATGTTTATGATTACATTTGCACACAATTAGATTTGTTTAAATATCTCCTGGAAAACGAAAACTTTTAATTCTTCAAATTGTTCTTGTTTATCATCGTTTTCTAGGCTGCGGTAAGCTTAGCAGCCCGTTTGCGTTAAATTTGTGATGTCGGACATGCGAATACGCCACGCAAAATTAAGATAAAATATTTAGAAATAAAAAGTGCCCGGTGATAAAAAATCTGTTTCACCTGTCCCATACTTTCTTCTATCAGTAACACATCTGACTAATGGCAGAATGACTCATCTTCGAACAGCTTCAGTGGGACATCTGCATTGGACTTATTCTGCCATCGTGCATGTTGTTAATGATATAGCTTGAGATGTTGATGCTCAGTATAAAACGAGTCTGCTGAGGTACTCTGACGGACATTCATATTTTCCCTTTCATGATGGAGGTTCCAAGCTTATTGGTATTCTACTTGCACGTGGTTGTTGATATTGCATTCCTTTACACTGGTGTGCTATGTATTTATGAATCATAGAGATCCATAAATTAGGAAAAAAAATTTTTTACGTAACGTTTTTTTAAGGACAAACAGCGTTTCGAAAGACTGGAATTAAGCAAAGCAGAACTGTTGGAGTTGTTCAAATTCAACAAATTTAAGTTGCGTTTGATTAACGAAAAAGTCGTTTGCCCCACTGCCACAGTGTACCGTTGCGGAAGTTTGATCGACATGTGTCGCGGACCTCATGTTCGTCACAGTGGTAAAATCAAGGCGTACAAGCTTCTGAAGAGCAGCTCAACGTACTGGGAAGGCAAAGCCGACATGGAGTCGTTGCAACGTGTGTATGGCATCAGCTTTCCAGACGCCAAGCAATTGAAGGAGTGGCAGAAATTGCAGGTATGGAGTATTTACACTCATTGAACGCGCCCATATTTTGAATTTCTTGTTTAGGAAGAGGCGGCAGCTAGAGATCATCGACGACTCGGTCGAGATCAGGAGTTATTTATGTTTCACGAATTGAGTCCTGGTTCGGCATTTTTCTACCCACGGGGAACGTACATTTACACGACTCTTGTCGAGTTCATTCGGAGACAGTACCGAAAACGCGGCTTTACCGAAGTCATCACACCAAACATGTTCAACAGCAAGTTGTGGGAGACCTCTGGCCACTGGCAGCACTACTCTAAGAACATGTTCAAGTTAGTGAACATGTCGGCGTTTCCAGTGACCAGTAATAGCACTGTATTTTAGAATTGAGGTAGAGAAGGAGCAGTTCGGATTGAAGCCCATGAACTGCCCAGGCCACTGCCTGATGTTTGATTCCCGTCCTCGTTCCTTCAAGGAACTGCCAATCAGATTCGCCGACTTCGGCGTACTTCATCGGTAAGTGATCACTTGTTTTTGTGTGCTTTGCCTACAGGCGCTGATTCGTGCGAAGTTTAGAAACGAACTTTCTGGTGCACTAAGCGGCCTGACCAGAGTGAGGCGTTTTCAACAGGACGATGCCCACATTTTCTGTCGACATGATCAAATTAAATCTGAAATATACGCGTGCTTGGATTTCGTGAAATTCGTCTTTTACACCTTCGGTTTTGAACTAAAGCTGTTTTTGTCGACTAGGCCTGATGATTTCATTGGAGAAATTGCGTTGTGGTAAATATTGGCGTTTGTGCTCGTATCTTTCTGAAACATCAGTTTTCCACATGACAGATGTGCAATAATTTGTTTTCATTTTTTTAATCATTATCGGTGTCTATGTTATCGAACTTCAAATGTCGATTAACTGTGTCGACTCCTCTTCAGAGTTAGCAAGTCCATGGCCTTGAATTACTTAGGACTTTTCCTGGCATTCACCATACTAGGTAATATTTTCATTGCTTTGCCAGGATTTTGGGCTATGTTTCCAAGATACTCATTCTTCTCCTAACAGATTCGTTGTATATGTGATTCA